TGCTGTAGCCACTAGCTACATGTGGCTGTTTCAATTTTGACTAATTAAAATTGAATATTCAAATGTAACCATTCTAGGAAATATCTGTACCTTTGAAAGTATTAATATGTCTTAGTACTTTGGCAAGACAGGGTCTGCTGTATTTCATATGGTGTTTTACTATGTAACTTATTTACTTTGTACCTAATCTAATTGTGTCACGTTACCTATTTTTTTTTCTTCTTTCCAGCTATTAGGCAATTTTCTTCAGTGGTATGGCATTTTCTCAAATAAAACTCTACAAGAGTTATCAATAGATGGTTTATTAAATCGATATATTCTCATGGCTTTTCAGAATTCGGAATATGGAGATGACAGCATCAAAAAAGCCCAAAATGTGAGTTAAATGACATAGCGTAGTTTTTAAAGCATATGAGTTAAAATGAATTAAGTTTTTGTTTGTTTGAAGAGGGATTTGAGAATTTCATGAAACCCCTTTGATTACTGGACTTGCATGTAAGGTTGACAGTTTGCCTACCCAGGTAGTTCCAAACCCCTACAGCTTTTTTTTTTAACGTAAAAATGCATACTATTATATATATCTATCCATCTATATCCATATTTTATAGATATTAGTAAAAGTTTTAGTATTTTGTAGGTATAAATGAAAGCTTTAATTTCAGGATAATAATAACCTTACTGTCTTAACCTCAGTCTGGGCCAACTCGACTCCCGTTGTCAGCAAGCATGGATGCCTATTCATGGAATTATTGCGGGGGATGGGGGCACCATGATTTCATTTTTATACCACTCATATTTTTACATCAAAAACTGCTGAAAAAGGAAACTCAGTTTATTTAGGCCATCCTAGAAGACTGGAAAATGAAGCCGTTGGTTGTCAGTTTTACATTACTAATTTACTCAAATATTGGACAGATTTTCTTTTGCTTTGAGTGCCTAACCCATTGGTTGGGGTAAAAATTCAGGTATATTGGTTTAGTTAACGTAGGAAGTCAGATTTAAAAGAATATTTCTTCAGAGTAATTGCTGTAGCTCAGAAGCATATCTTCTGGTGAAATACATTTATACCCGTTATCTAGAGTTCGCTTTTAATACTTTAATTTATTCTGTCTTAACTATTTTATTTTACATCTTTCTTCTCCACAGGTAATCAATTGTTTCCCCAAACAATGGTTCATGAATCTGAAAGGAGAAAGGACTATTTCTCAGTTAGAAAACTTTTGCCGATACCTTGTACACTTAGCAGATACAATTTATAGAAACAGTATTGGGTGCTCTGATGTGGAAAAAAGAAATGCAAGGTAATTTTGTAATTAATGAAATGGTAATCTAGAGTTGTTTTAGTTGCCAGATTTAGTATTAAAATGTTTTAAGTAGAAATATTTATATTTTAGTTTAAATTGTATGTTCACTTAGTATTATAAACCTACCAAAAATGCACATAATTTTTCGTTTTTGCAGTTTTTACTTTATCTTTTTTCAGTATATTATTTATGAAGATACTAAGGAAAGACTTCTGGTAAGGACCAGCCCCTCAGGGGAGTGAATCAATGGTGGTTTTCTCTGTCTCCCTCTTTGAAGAATTAGAGAGGTCTCAGACTCTCGTTTGGAGTTTCATTATACAGATGTAAATTCAAGGTTATCTCCCAATTTGGGGAAATTTTTTGTTTTAATCCATATTATGAATTAGAGGTTATCACTAATGGCTTTTTGGGAGCAACTTATTTCTAATTTTTATCAAGGGTTGTAAGAAAAGAGTGAATGAACCATTAGCCTTTCTGTGGACATTAATTACGGATATTCAGGTAATTCTGGGATAAATCTCTAGCATAAAAAGTAAATAATAGCACTAGGGCAGTTTGAAGGAATTGTCTTTTTAAATTTTTAATTTCATATATCTTTGTAATGTCAAAGTTTCATTTTTGTTTAGATCACACCATTAGTCATACCCCTATAACAAAACCTTCTTCCGTTCCCTCATTCCCCTTTCTTGAAAACAGACCTTATTTTCCTGCAAGAAAATTGGATATTTTTTCCACAATAAAATTAAAGTAGCTATTAAAGATTTTAGGCTGGGCATGGTGGCTCACGCCTATAATCCCAGCACTTTGGGAGGCTGAGGCAGGCGGATCACGAGGTCAGGAGATCGAGGCCATCCTGGCCAATATGGTGAATCCCCGTTTCTACTAAAAATACAAAAATTAGGTGGGCGTGGAGGTGCATGTCTGTAGTCCCCCCTACTTCGGAGCCTGAGGCAGGGGAATTGCTTGAACCTGGGAGGCAGAGGTTGTAGTGAGCTGAGATTGTGCCACTGTACTCCAGCCTGGCGAAAGAGCAAGACTCCATCTCAAAAAACAACAAAAAAGATTTTAATGGTAAAATTCTTTGGCAGGTTTTGGTTGATTTGATTTTGTTCTTAGTGTGTGCCATTTTGTTATTTGTTGGCACTAACATTTTTTCTCAGTGTGTTGTTTTCTACTAGATAAGTTTTATCACATTTTAAACTTTGATTTACATACATTTAACAGTGTTTCTGTTTGGGAGTTAACAAATAGTGTTTACTTTTCTACAGAAAAGAACTTTAACAGCTATGTAAGCACCTGCTTTGTGCAATGCATATAAAGCAGGTTTCACGTGGGTTGCCAAGTTTTGCAAATTCTAATTCTTCCCTAATAGGTGCTTACTACAATTCTATAGAAGAGATGTGACAATTACTAATGTCATATTATGTCTTGTTTCTTATGAGTGGTTTAAGCTAACTGTTAAAACAGTCATTCTTAAAGTGTGGTCCCTAGACCAGCAGTATCAGCATGATACTGGGAGCTTGATAGACTTGCAAGTTCTCAGGCCCCACTGTGGGCCTACTGAATAGAACTCTTGGGGTGGGGCCAGGGATGATCTGCATTTCAGCAATTCTCTAGGTAATTCTAATGTGTTCTAAAATTTGAGGATTACTTCCTAATAAGAAAGCAGAATGCCTTCTAGCTGGGGTGATAAGGAAAGTCAGATTATACTTTATTTAGTGAATTTTGGTGGAGTGGAAATTACGCTGGATCTTGATGGATTAGTGATGAAAAGACACAAATACCCTTTGTGTTCCAGGTATATGCTGAAAGAGCCAGGACTCTTGTTTGAGAAGGAATGGGAGACAGGCCTCTGAAGTAGTTTGAAAACAGATTGCTTTCTTTTCTTTCGCAATATTAATGAAACTCATTGATCTCAATGAATTTTGTTTTTTTTAAAAATGGGTCCCCTGTCTCTGGGCTAGTCATTTAAACATATGTAAGTTTTGTTTTATATGGATAAATGTAAACTTTTTTTTTCTTTTTTTTAATTTTAGTAGAGACGGGGTTTCACCATGTTGGCCAGGCTGGTCTTGAACTCCTGAGCTCAGGTGATCCACACGCATCAGCCTCCCAAAGTGCTGGGATTACAAGCGTGAGCCACCGCGCCCAGGCTTTTTTTTTTTTTCCTACGTGCTGTAGCTTGTATATATGTTTCCCTTCTTTGAAAATGTGTGCTTGGAAAAATTGATTGCAGAAGCTCTAAAATAGCCATGAAATCAGTAGCAAATTTTCTCTTAGATGTACTAATTAATGAGATGCTGCTATATGTTTTTCTTTTAGGGAAAACATAAAACAGATAGTAAAACTCCTTGCAAGTGTTCGAGCTTTGGATCATGCTATGTCTGTTGCAAGTGACCACAATGTGAAAGAATTTAAGTCTTTGATTGAAGGAAAATAGATCTGTGAGACTGAAAAACCTATTTGCTTGATTACCATTCCCAATGTGTAAATTTTGTATATATGTAAAGTTTCTTAAACTGTAAAATAGCGATTCTTGTTTTAATACAAAAAACATTATATTCAATACTGTGTCCTTAAATGATATTTCTTCAGAATGAAAGGAATTCAGATTATTTCTAGGAGTCTATGAATGTTTACTGCCTATCATACTTTGTTTACAGAAGTATTTTGTATGGTCATTTAAATTAACCCTCTCAGTTAATTGTCCCCTGTAAACGATGTGTGCAGTGTAAATTGTGTAATTATGCATATATATATTTATACCACCATGGATTTACTTTCACACTGGAAATTTGTGGTGTTTTTCTACAGAGGAAGCCTTTTAACAGCAGAAAATTATCCGGTAGCAAATTGTCTTAGGGAAATTACTACACTGTTGTAACAAAAGGGCTGGCAAGTGACTAAATGTTCATTACCTTTTGGTTAGCGTTGCTATCACTGTAGCTGTGCTGCCTTAACATTGAGAGTTGAGTTGTGGACTTAGTCGTTGAGTGAATGTTGAACTTTTTTCCTTGAATCAGCGTTAGAGTCAAATGTGGGTTTAATGTGAATGCTAAATGATACATGCAACATACTTTCAAATGGAACATAGAAATTTCACTTTTGAGAATAATAAACCCACAACCTAATTGCATGGTTTTGGGCTGACCGTCCTGTCTCATTCATGATTTTACTCCCTGCCCAGCTTGCACATACATGCATTTGAATTTTAGTAGTCTGTCATATTTAAAATCCCACATATGTGAGTTAAATATGCAATAAAGAATACGCCTTGCTGATTAGCCACACCCAGGCAATTTAATATCCATGGTCTTCTATAATGTTTATATCACATTGTAAATATTCAAAGAACTTGTTTTAAAGTTTATGCTTTCTGATTCTGTGATTTTCAAAAGAGGAATTTTTTGGAAATTAAGGACTATCGTTTGATAATTATATATGTAATTAAGCTTTAGCCAAGCATTAAATTAATTTTTAAATATATCCTTTGTTGTATTTTCCTGATGACTAAGTTTGCAGCATTTCAAATGACTAATAAAGTGGGACTATGAGCAGGCCCATGTGTACCCTTGATCAGAACATAATATGCAGAACAGTGTCATGCACTCTTTTTCCTCTGTTAATTTTATCTTATCCCTACATCTTTGTATTAGTTCATTCTCAGGCTGCTATAGGGACATACCCAAGACTAGGTAATTTATGAAGCGGTTTAATTGACTCACAGTTCTGCATGGGTGGGAAGGCCTCAGGAAACTTACAATCATGACGAAAGGCACATCTTCACAGGGTGGCAACAGAAAGAATGAGTGTCGAGGGAAGGGGGAAGCCCCTTATAAAACCATGAGATTTCATGAGAACCCACTAGCAGGAGAACAGCATGGCAGAAACCACCTGCCATGATTCAGCTGTCTCCACCTGGTCCTGCCCTTGACATGTGGGGATTATTACAATTCAAGGTGCGACTGGGTTGGGAAACAGCCAAACCAAAACAGTATTCATTCTGGATGAATTTTCTGTTACACCTTACTGGCCTACTAAGTAGAATTAAAGTCAGAACACCTATTCCTCATTTTAAGTAGAATAAAACATATAAACATGTATATGTATCACATGCAGATCATTTAGGCCTTAAACTGCATATTATTTCCAAACCCATTAGACTAATTACTCTGCTTTTAAGAACTCTTAAACTCAGGCTTTTTATCCTATGAAATCTATCAGGCTATAGGTTTCAGGAATGGGTTTGAACATCACACTAGGAATTTGATGTAGGGTACATAAAACCAATGGTTTTTCTATCTCAAGCAGAACATTTTTATTCCTGATATAGCTTAAGGACATTATTTCTTATGAAAGGAATTCTCAAAAGATAAATCCAGAACCATTTTAATAAAGCTGGTTTTGCTTTTTAGTTTTTTCTTTTGGAGCAGTCCTTTGAATTAACTCCAAAATAGGTGACAAATGTTTTTGAGAAGGAAAACTATTGAAACAACATAGTCAAGAGTGACTAGTACTACTGTAGCCAATGATGTTGATGTCTCACCATGTCCCTGTTCTTGCCACTGGTGTCCTCTTGCAAGTACTTGCTCCTCTGCCTGAGGGCTTTTCTTTGGCCTGTGCAACAGGCTGGAGTGTCCTGGAGATACTTCTTGGAACAGATCTCAGCCAAGGGAGGAAAGGAATTGGAGTTTAAATGCCCCAGTGAGTCAGTTGGGGTCCTCTTGGGAGCAGACACTGAGATGGCATTAAATGTACAAGAAGTTTACTGGGGGGGAATGTGTATAAGAGAAAACAGGGGAGCCTGGAGGAGGCTGGGAAAGCTGTCAGGCAGGCAGGTTTCACCTGTGTGAAGGAAGGAGGGAGGGATGAAAGTCTTAGACATTGGTGCAGTTCTAAAGTTTCAGCAGGGCCAACTGGCAGCCCTGACAAGTACAACCAGGGTCTCCTTGCTAATATGAGATCTGAGAGAATTTCATGATCACTAAACCCAATTTGCTAATCTCTCAGGCAGGAAAGCAGATATGGTCCACATTGCCTACAAGAGGTCTTCAGTTGAGTAGAGCCATCGTTGCCTGCAGTGGTAACATTACCAGCATCCAGAATTGGCCAAAAATGGAAAGTGCTAATAATCGTCCTTGAAATCATGAAACCCTTACAAAAATGGTCAAATGTTACAGAGCTGCAATATAAAATAGGAAGCTGTAAGTTGCTACATTGTAGTGGTTGTTTATGGTTATAAGAGCTCTTCTTATCTCTAACATGGTAATACCTGTGTAATAAAGGGAGTCTTGCCATTCACTGATTATGACAAAACATTTGATTTGTTGTTTCAAGTAAATGAAAACGAGAAAAACACTGGCACTACATGTAGGAAGAAAAATTAAATATATCTGAATGTTTGGGAGGTCTTGTACTTTCATAAATGTTTTGAAGACTGCCCTCCAGAACTGAAACTGTCCATGGATATGGGGTTCACAGCTGCTAAGGGCTGCTTCATACTGCCCAAACACAGGCTGAATATTGTTATATGGGATTGATATCGAAGTGCAATGTAGACGGGCCCCTGGCCTGCTTCTGGACTCTAGCCCCCGGTAATTTGTACTGGGTTCCTGTGAGTCCTAACTCCAGAGGCTTAAAGGATACAATCATTCAGTACAATGAGAATCCCTAGCAGATGACTTCTTAGGATCTTGTTAAATATCTTTAGGAAAATATATGAGAAAAGTTTTGACAAAACACTGCAGAAACCATTCTAAGCTACTTTGCAAAAACATTTTGATCATGAAAGCTTACCTTTTACGCGTAACCTTAGTGAAATTGCTGTTGCTTTGTGGGACCCAGAGTCAACTTGAACACCTTGAACACAACTCTAATCTTGAAGGTTGAGCCCTGTTTTTGGCTCCGGCACTTTGATTTCCACAAGAATCCTTGTGTGTCATTAAAATAAACCCCCTTCACTTGATCTCTCTTCAGTTGGTCTCTTGTTCCAAATGAAAACACTTCATTTTTATCTATCACAAGTTTCCTGTTTGCTCTAGTGGCAATTTCCTGTCTATGGTACCTGCAAGTTATTTTTCAGTTTTTTTTTTCCCCCACAGTGATTCTGCTCTCGAGCTTACTAGTTTTTTATTCATAGGATTTCCATTTTTCTAATTTAAAATCTCATCCTTCACTGGTTACATTGAATTTCTTTAAAGAAAAAGTTAATGCTCTTTGTAACCTACTGTTGTGTTGTCTTTCAAGACCACTGTTTTCTCTTGAACAATGAGCCATTTCTTTCTCAGTCATTGGTGGGGAGTATGGCCAGGTACAACTAGGGTCTGCAGATCCTGCTATACTATACTATATTAGGACCAGGATCTGCAGAGCACTATACTAATTGCTCTGCAGATCCTGATCCTGATATAAAAGTTAGCCTATGTAACCTGAGAAGAAGCTGTTAAAGGTTACTGAATCAGATTGTGACTATTTCCCTGATTTTCCATGTTGTCTAGCATTTTTGACAAAAAAAAAAAGCCAGACAAAAGAGAAAAGCAGGTACTACTACTAATTCACATAGTAATCACCTGTCAAAATTTATAGCCATGCACTTGATATAGTTTTTTAATGTGATTATTTGGGATTATCATTAATCATCTGTAAATACGTAAATTCTTGTATAGTCTGCCTGGGACATACTATTAGGTTGGGCCATATGTTGCCACTATGTGAGGTTTCTTTTTTAAACCTATGGAAATAACAATTCCATGTTTCCACATAATGAATTGCATATTTCAACGAGAGTTACCCATAGGAGAAATAACTTGCTCACAAATCAACATTGAAAATTTAGGGTGTTTGTCTTTAATTTGTTCTATTGGATGTGATATCTGAAACACCTACCTGGGGCTGTCTCTCTCCTGATGGAAAGTCACATCAGCCTTGTGTTGATTTCTTGTAGCTGGTGTTACAAATTACCACAAACTGGGTGGTTTAAAACAACAAAAATGTATTTTCTCACAGTTCTGGAGGCCAGAATCAACAGGGCCATGCTCTTTCCGAAGGCTCTAGGCTCAAATCCTTCCTTGCCTCTTCCAACTTCTGACGGCTGCTGACATAGCTTGGCTATTGCCAAGCTCCAATCTCTGCTGCTGTCTTCATATTACTTTCTTTCTCTTTCTCTTTCTCTTTCTCTTTCTCTCTCTCTCTCTCTCTCTCTCTCTCTCTCTCTCTCTCTCTCTCTCTCTCGTGTGTGCATGTTTAATTTTCCTCTGCCTCCCTGTTATAAGGACACTTGTGATTGCATCTAGGGCCCTAGAGCCCACCTGGATAATCCAAAATAATCTCAAGACCCTTAATCAAATCTGCAAATTAACCTAAATTAACATTCACAGACAAGGACATCTTTTTGAAGCAGCATTTTTTAGCCTCCCACAGGCTCTTCATTGCTCAGTTTCAAGGGTTGAGTTGGTGTCAGCCTGTCTCTGTAGGCCCTTAGGATCTCACTAAGAAATCTGTGTATGCCACTTAACCTATATTTTAAGTCACCCTACCCCAAAGACATTTCAAGGTCAGTGAAAATTTTTCCAGCTATTGTCAAATGCTGTAACAAAAGTAGAAGTATAAATAGGAAAGAGGGACGAGAAAAAGAAGACAGAACCAGTCAAACCACTAGTCAAATTGCCTTTATGTTTTTCAAACTCTGGGCATGTCTTTTCATGACTAAAATGAGATGTGGAAAAGCTGTGGCTGTCTAACAATCTAGGAATAAGAGTCTTGCTACCCCCCAGTTTAATTTGAAGAAAGAAGCAGGAATTCCAACCCACAACCCAGAAATTTTGACCTAAATCTCCTTAGTTCCAAATAAAAAGGAACCAGGAATACGCAGAACACCTGTTCCTAAAAGAGCTTAGTACCCATGCTTCACACTGTAAGAGAGGATGCGTTTCTAGTGTAGCCTTACAGACACACAGGCATGGTGGAAAAGATTTTGGGCTTTGGAGTAAGTTAGTTTGGTTCCAGTCCCCAACTCCTCTTGAAACTGAGTGATTTCAGTTGTCATAAAAGGTACCTCTCAGGCAACGCATGTGATATCGACAGTTTTTTTTCTGAGACAGTACTGAGATAGAAACCCCCTCTAGTTCTTACAACGAAATCCAAGAATCTTTGTATTTCTCCTTCATGACTTGAAGTGGCTTCTTTTCTAATAAATTTAGTTCCGTGTCCTGAAACCAGGGTGGGTGCAGCTTCTCTAAAATGGATGAAAAAATCAAGTCACATGACAGGGCCTGAAGAGGGAAATGATTTTTGCAACATAACCAAATTTAAATTCTGCTTTGGCTGTTAAAAACCAGAAGGAGAAGAGGTAAACAAAGAGCAAAGGCAAGTGGAGACAGTTTGAGTGCTGGGTTCTTCAGGTTTTCAATTCCTTTCTGCCCTGTTGGCTTTGACTTCATTCTCATACTTATTAGGTCTATTCAATGGAAGCAGAAATAAATCTATGGGACACGCTGATATTAGCCAGGAAGCACGATTTGTTGAAAAATGAGGATGCGATAAAAGGGTCAGGTGCCTTTAGTCACTAAATTCCACAGTTGGCAAAAGCTATTCATCCATCAGTGACAACCACAGCTGTAGTGGCCTCCCTACAGCCATGTTTTGTTGGACTCAGCCTTGAGATCCTGGTTTGTGACTTCCCACTCTCCATCGTATACACCTGAACACTCTTCGATAGCACCCTGTGAGCTCCAGAACACACAAGAAAAGGCACCGAACAGAACTGTCCCAGAGCAGGCATTCGTTTTTCTTCTGCTACCTACCCCGACACTCAGACTAGGAACTCGGTGCCATTTGCTGGGCTGTCGACACCATGGACAGCTCTTCAGGCGCCACCTAGTTGGCTAGGCGAGCCGACCATACCGAGCCCTCCCTCCTCTCCCGTCAGGCCGGTGGGGGCGGCAGGGGGTGGTCCTGACGCCCAGCTTGGGGAGCAGCAATACGCAGCCCCCCAAGCTTTTCTCCTGAGTCCCTCCCCGGCGCTCACGCTCTGAAGAGCCCACGCAAAGGGACCAAAGAGGCCAGATCTTCCCTCTCCTTGCACCCCCGGCGGTGGGATCGCAGCTCGGCCTGGGGGCGGCAGCAGGAGGCGAAGGTCGCTGGAGACTGAGGCTCTGGCCGCCCGCTGGTGCCCGGCCTGGCCGGTAGGCGCAGAGTGGGCGTGATCTCTCTCCTGACGCCCCGCCCCTTCCCTCGTGAGGGGCGGATCTTCCGCCCGCTGCCGCGGCGCAATGCGGAAGAGATGGGCCTGCTGGAGCGGAAGTGACGCTTCTGGAGGCAGTGGCGGCGGCTGCGGGAGAAGGAGGAGGAGGAGCCGGAGGAAGGGGTGAGCAAGCCGGCGGGGGGCGGGGAGCGGCCGCGGCCAGACCCACCGGCAGCCGGGCGGGCGGACGCCTCCAAGACCAGCCTCTGCCTCCGCAGCCTCAGCGGGAGCGGTGAGGGGCGACCGCGAGCAGCCGGGGTGCGGGAGAGCGGGCGCGGTTGTGAGGAGACCACGGGTTGTGTGCAGGGCGCCGCGTCAGGCTGGGGGCTGGTGACAGCGGCTGTCAGCCTGCCCGCGGGAACGAACTGAATCCGCCTGGGCGCCGGGTCATCTCTTCTGGCGCATAAATGGAGGGTTTGGGCTTCTCGGCCCTTCAGTCTCTCTGAGAAGGAGCCGTTTTCCCGGGCAGTCGACTTCCCGGGACCCCGAGGAGCCCCAGTCGGGTCGGTGCCCCGAGTCATGACTCTTCCCGGGTGGCCATTCGTATTTTTCGGCCCCGCCTGCCGTCCCCCGAGCCGACGGTAGCCCGGGGCAGGGGAGGCGGTGGTAACCTGTGCTGTTTCCCTTGCCCTTCGTCGCCACCCCCGGGAGAGCCTGTCGCGTAGAATAATCCTTTTCCTCCTCCTGCCCCCTAAGGAGCTTTGAACCAGCCTTGTCACCCTTCCCTCCCACCTCCGCTCCTTTCCCCTCGAAGGAACTGCTTGAAGTTTCCAAATCGGTTCCCTTTCAACGTAGTGACAGATCTTGAAGCAGGAAGCTGATAAACAACTCCGAACGAAATACGCTCAAAATTTTTCCTTTCAGTAAGCATAAATTAAACGGGAAACTCAACCAAACCGTTGATGGACTTACAGTGCTAAAACCTTGTCTTGCCTTGGTATGAGAATTGGTAGCTTTTCCTCTTGCTTTTTGGTAAAATTAAGTGACGACTTATCTTTTGGAATAAGCCATTTTCTCCCTGAGCTGTCTGTTTTTTCCCCACCCCAACCCCCCATCAAAACCTGGCAGGGAGGGACTTTTGGATGCTTTGCAGTCCTTGCTGCAGAAGGAAGCATCAGCTTCATTTGCTTTGCTTTGCTTGGTTTCCACAGGGCTGCCTCCGAAGAAAGGAGAATGGCGTTCAGTAAAGGATTCCGGATCTATCACAAATTGGATCCCCCACCTTTCAGCCTCATAGTGGAAACTAGGCATAAGGAAGAATGTCTCATGTTCGAGTCTGGGGCCGTCGCTGTGCTCTGTAAGTCATCTGTTAGAGCCCAATTTATCATGGTCTCTGCTTTGATTTGAAATAATTCAGATGCAACCATTTTTAGAAAAGAGCCCAACAACCCTTTCACTGTATTTCCTCTAGCAGATTATGCTTGTATTTCCTTTTAATCAAACTTATTTTCCTGTAAACTTTTTGCTAACAGGTTTTTGTTGGGGGGGGGGTGCAGGACGATGCCAGTTTTGGTGCAGGATTTTGCTTTCTTGGGTTCTGCTGCTGCTTCTAAAAGTAAATTTTTTTTCCAAAGAAATATTGTTGCAGTTTGTATCATAGATCACATAAACCCATACGATGTCTTGCTTGACATATTTACTGGTAGGTCAGTTATAGTAGTAGGTATTTTCTAATGTTATCCAATATTGTTGGAGTATTTATGTTATGGCCGTTATGTTTTCATTAAGGGAATTGTAAACAACCTCTAGATTTTCATGTGAGATTCATGATTGATTTTGTATTATTTTAAAAAGTATTTTGATAGTCTAATTTAAAGAAAAGGACTATTGTACCACAATAAAAATATATTAGTAAGATCTGAGTTATTTTAGGGGCAGATGGATGAAATTAAAATTAATTTGAATACTATGTTTCTTTCTTAATGTAAGATATGCCAGGTGTGGAGGCTCATGCCTGTAGTCCTAGCACTTTAGGAGGCCAAGGAGGACAGATCGCTTGAGGCAGGGAGTTTGAGACCAGTCTTGGCAGCATGGTGAAACCCTTTCTGTACAAAAAATACAAAAATTAGTCCGGTCTCGTCGTGTGCACCTTTAGTCCCGGCTACTCAGGAGGCTGAGTTGGGCGGATTGATTGAGTCTGGAAGGTCGAGACTGCAGTGAGCCTTGATCTCGCCGCTGCCCTCCAGCTTGGGCATCACAGTGAGACCCTGTTTCAAAAATTAAAAAGAAAAAAAAAGTATATGATTATATATATATGAATTAGGCAGATAATCCTAGTGTTAGGATTAGTTTAGTTACTGATTATATCCTTATAAATTAAAAATAGTGTTTGAAAGGCATACTTACAAATATAAGCCCTTAAATATCTTAAACTACTAAGCTTTCTCCAGCCTCAGTAAATGAAGAGCTTAAGACCACACTGTTTGCATATAGAGTATTAATGTCAGTTAAAGTGTTAACTTGACTAAAATAGTACAATTGCATCTGATGGGGAAAAAGATAGTGACATAACGAAAAGAAGCAAAGAACAGTGTATAAGAAATATATATTTGGTACATAAGTTTTTGAATGAAGGAGAAGGGGCTCTAGTTCTAAGAAATAAGTATAAATAATATTGACTATACTCAATCAGTATGGGCGTAATTACTTCAAGTTGTTTTTTGGATTTAAATCAAACTGTACCTTAGTACAGTATTAATTTCCATTGCATATATTTTTATACAAGTGTAATTCTTATACTGAGGAATTCTTAATAAAAATATTTGGGCCGGGCGCGGTGGCTCAAGCCTGTAATCCCAGCACTTTGGGAGGCCGAGACAGGCGGATCACAAGGTCAGGAGATAGAGACCATCCTGGAGAACACGGTGAAACCCCGTCTCTACTAAAAATACATAAAAAACTAGCCGGGCGAGGTGGCGGGCGCCTGTAGTCCCAGCTACTTGGGAGGCTGAGGCAGGAGAATGGAGTAAACCCGGGAGGCGGAGCTTGCAGTGAGCTGAGATCCGGCCACTGCACTCCAGCCTGGGCGACAGAGCGAGACTCCGTCTCAAAACAAAACAAAACAAAACAAAACAAAAAAAATTTGGCGGGGGGGCGAATGTTTGCTTTCCTATGGGAAGCATTTTTCAGCTGCTTGTGTTTTTTGATGACATTACCTGACTTACTAATCTTGTATAAATTCTAAATGTGTCTTTATGATTACTCATAACAGCAAGTCACATTTTCAGCTGCAAACTGTGTATTACTTATAGTTTTTAGAATTATTGCTATACTTTACTCCAA